CTACTTTGAACTTCTTCCTGAATTCCACATTAATATACCTAATGAGCACCATATCATGCTCACTTAATGTCTAATAGCTGTTTAAGGTAAAATGTCCAGTATGGATTCATGATTTTCCCAACAAATATGCTCTTCCTGAAATCTTCCTCATCTTTTTTTAGAGTCATTTTTGAATAATATAGTTCTCTCAATACCGTATCTATCAGCAAATCCCTTACAATATAACAGATTGTGAGGCTAAAAGTAGATTTTGAAAATTTTTAATATCTAAGATTGTTTGGCATTTAAAAACATGAAGTATTTTATACCACCTGCATATTTTTCAGATATTGATCAAAAATGAAAAATTCTATATCAATATAAACATTGATGCAGTGTATGTAATTATTTCTTTCTAGGGCTACTTGTGTCCAAATGAGTTTATTGCTACTCAAGGTCCATTGCCAGGAACAGTTGGAGATTTTTGGAGAATGGTGTGGGAAACAAGAGCAAAAACATTAGTAATGCTAACACAGTGTTTTGAAAAAGGGCGGGTAAGTTACATAAAAATCTTTTCACAAAATGTTATTTTACAATTATGTTAATATGTGTGAATATTTCAGCTAGTACTGTAAGTCATCAATAATTTAGATGTCTGTAAAGGAGTTTTAACTTAGTAGTAGTAAATGTAATATATATATATATATATATATATATATATATAAAACAATGTTATATATATAAAACAATGTTATATTTATATATATAACAAATATATAACAATGTATATAACAAATATATAAGAATGTATATAACATATATATACATATATATAAATAACAATGACACATATATAGCATATATACCATTATAGCACATATATGTATATATAACAGTAACATTTATGATTGTTGATTTTCTCTGATGCAGATAAGATGCCATCAGTATTGGCCAGAGGACAATAAACCTGTTACTGTTTTTGGAGATATAGTTATTACAAAACTTATGGAGGATGTTCAGATAAATTGGACCATCAGGGATCTGAAAATTGAAAGGGTAAAAAATAGGGGGGAGGGGACGTGTATAAAATATGAATGATCTAAATGTCTCAAGTAAAATTAATTTCTAAAACTATCACTTAGAAGAATACCTCTATATTTAACAAGGCTCTCCCACTGTTTTCTAAATAGAAGTTTTAAATTGCTATCTTCCTGTAGTATCTATATCACTGTGTTTCATTGCCAATCACATGATTCAAGTGTATATTAAGTAATTAACATCAAATTCTTAGGTTGACAAAAACAGAAAAAGGAAGAAAAACAACTAAGTCACTAGGTTTGTTTAATTTGATTATAAATAATCTTATATGGGCTAAGATGGCAAGTCCCCACATTACTCATTGCTTTCTAAATTCTAATGGCTTAATTTTCTATTTATTCTAGAACCAGTACAGAAGAGTTAGTGCAAGGTCCCACTCTGTTGGTTTATATGCCTAGACACACAGAAAATAATATAAGGATCTGTATATTTCCTGACATTAGATACACAATACCCGTGTTTTGTATAATTAATGAATGTATTCAAGTGTGGGGGTCAAAATTGTTTCAAAATCTGATATTCTAACTATATTTGAATTTTAATACTCTATAGGAGGACTTGAATCCAAAATTTTTTGTTGTTACCTTCTACCAACAAGAAATTCTCTTTATTGCAATAAAAAATAAGAAATAATGAAAACAGAACCTGTTCTGTTGGTGAATAGTCATTTTTATAAGCTTATCTCCAAAAGCTCAGGCATAGATTGTCTTCAGCCTTCATGTAGTACTTAAATAATTTTATTATTCATAAATCTGTTGCTTTGTGTAGCATGGAGATTATATGACAGTTCGACAGTGTAATTTTACTGGTTGGCCTGAACATGGAGTTCCTGAAAACAGCACCCCTCTAATTCACTTTGTAAAGTTGGTTCGAGCAAGCAGAGCACATGACACCACACCTATGATTGTTCACTGCAGGTAAGAAAGATTCAGAGAAACCTTCTCTTAAATGCTGGGAATGGACTTGAAAGCCAAAGTGGACTTTTTATTTTCATGATATCAAGTTGTATAATATCTCATCTTTCATTATTTCTGTTGCCCCTATTCTACTATCAAAATTTACTTGTAGAAAAAATTTTCTAGATTTTTGAGTTACAGGGAATAAATTAGGAAAAATAAACTTAAAAAAATAAAATCAAGTATGGTTCCAGATTTTTACAAAACTTTACTCAAATCTTTTTCTTTTTTAATGAGGACTTTAAACATAGTTAATAAAGTATGACTGTAAATTGACTTTTTCCTCAGGATTTCCATTGGGAATGCAATTTTATTCTTACAAATTAAATTCCAGACTGTTTAGCATTCAAAACTTTTCTAGACACACGGTTATAATTTAAGTTTTCTAATGTAATATACCTAAGTGAATCTCAGTTTGAGCTTTTTAATTTTTTTCGACAAGATTCTAACTTTCTTTTTTTAAAACTTTTTAATGTATTTATTCTAATCAGTTATACATGACAGCAGAATGGTCTTTGATTCATTTTACACAAATAGAGCACAATTTTTCACTTATCTTGTTGTATACAAAGTAAGTTTACAGCATTCGTGCAATTATATATGTACCTAGGGTAATGATGTCTACCTCATTCCACTGTCTTTCCTATCCCTAAGCCTCCTCCCCTACTTTCCTTCCCCTTTGCCCAATCCAAAATTCCTGCACTCATCCCATTATAGATTAGCATCCACTTCTCAGAACATTCGGCCTTGGGTTTGGGGGATTGGCTTACTTCCCTTAGCATGATATTCTTCAGCTCCATCCATTTACCTGCAAATTCCATAATTCAGTTTGAGTCTTTTTCACAATTGGAGTTTGGAGATTAGAGGAAAAATGGGTGATAATATAATGTATTATGATTCCATTTACCAAAGATACATAAAACAGATACATTTACATAAATAGAAAGTAATGTAATTACTTGGAAAGGGATAGAGAGGCTTATTTTTACAGTCTGGGATGATGTAAAAGTCCTGGAAATGGACAGTAGAGATGGCTGCACAATACTGAGAATGTACTTACTATCACAGAATTGTAGATTTAAAATTTGTTAAAATTTTAAAGTTTTTGTTGTCTATATTTTAAACAATAAAATGTGTTTTTATCAATATATTTTAATCATAGCCTTTTAACAATACATTGAAATTAATTTGGTTGAATATATAAGAAAAGGTAAATCCATCAGATTTTCAAATCTTTTTCAAGGAAAAACTCAATATGTAACTTAAATTATTATGCAACTCTTATGATATTTTGAATTTTTTTAATTATAAGAGTAAAACATGTTTGCATTTTATGAAGTGTGAACAATGTCTATATTTACAAAGCATATAATTCAAAAAGTAAAAGCTACATGCTTGCCCTCCCAATTTAATTATTCTCCATATACATAATATTTTTAATAGAATAATATGTAGCATACATATTATAACATTTTGTATTTAGGGCCAGTGGTTGGTTTTTTGTTGTTATTGATAATTAAACCTTTAATGAACAATAAATTAAGTTTAAAAAGCTGCTTTTATAGCTTCTTCAAATCTTGTGTACACACTGCCATGGCACTAAAAGTCAGTGAAAAAGAAAAGTATCTTTTCTAGTTTAAGCATCAGAAAGAATAGCATCTCCTCTTTTGAGATTTAAATAACTAAAATTTAAGAAAAAAATCTGCCCAGATTAATGATTGTCTTTAAATATCATTTTTATATTGTCTACTAAACATTTCCCATTTCTCATCACAACTTTAAACATCCCCTACAGCTTTTAATTCAACTTGATAACCCAAATGACTAAAAATTTCTAAAAGTTTGATATGTCCCAAACAGGACATTTGATTCCATCTCCAAACTCCTCCTCATTGTCCTAGTGTTGGTAAACATCAGGTCCCTCCAGCTTGGTCAAGTAAGCCTTGAAGTCATCCTTAATCCTCCTCTTGCTCATCCATATCCCACATTCCACATTCCTCCAGCCCACCAAGTCCTCCCATCCCTGGGCACCTCTCGCCTTCCCATTGTAACCTCACCTGCCCATTCTTCTTGTTTCTTGAACACACAGACCATATTCTCACTCAGATCTCTTCTCATTATGCAACCTTAGGATCTAGTGGTCCTCTCCACCACACTTCCTTGGTCTGCTCCCCAACCTTATGCAAATTTCTTTTCAGATATTACATTATCAGAATAGCTTTGTCAGATTACCCTGTTCAGCCCTATCACTCTCTATCTCCTTAGTCTGATTTGTCTTTCTTTATAGCACTTGTTATCACCAACCATCTTCTTTGCCTGTGTTCATTTGTGTACCACTGTCCTCCAGGGTATAAGCTCCACACACATGGGCACTTTGTATTGCTTACTGTCATAACTCAGATGGCTAGAAAGGTGTATTAAGTGATTTAACGTCTGATTACCTTGTTCAGGCATGAGTGTATTCATGCTACCGTCATTGGAAATGTTAAGTTGAATAATTACTGATATTTGGCTCTTACGTTACTCAATTGACAGTTTCTATGGAACACCTGTCCTTGAGTATTAAATTAATTTCTTAAAAGAAAATAACTTGAAAATTTTATTAACTATAGGAGGTTAAAAAAAAAAGTTCTCTGGAGAAAGCAAAATGATGTGAGAGGGCTAGGGTTTTGGCTCAGTGGTAGAGTGCTTACCTAGCATGTGTGAGGCACTGGGTTTGATTCTCAGCTCCACAATATAAATAAGTAAATAAAATAAAGGTCCATCAACAACTTATAAAATATTTTTTAAAAAGATGTGAGAGATTATTTTTAATATGATACATAGGAAATGCAATATGGACCAAATATTTTATATTTTCAATATTTAGAATTTCTATGGATAACTAAAAATATGGCCAATATGAAGTTTCTGGTATTAAGAATTTTGAATGAGGCTGGAGATGTAGCTTAGTGGTAGAGCACTTACCTAGCATGTGTACGGCCTGGGTTCAGTTCCCAGCACTGCAAAAATAAAAAATTTTAAGAGATTTTAAAAATTCCTTAAATATAAAAAAAGTTGAGTATCCTTCATATTTATTCAATATTATTATGAAAGAAGATAAAAATTCAAGTAGTTAAAAAAGAAAATATAAATATTTGATAAAGTATTGATAATCATCTTGGTATAACTAATCACAATCTTGGTAACAATAAAAACCCAAAGAAAGTCCAAAGAAAATCTATCTCTAAATAAGCAAAGAAACTGTTTAGAATCTATTGCTATAGCTCATTATCTTCGTCACCATCAATAGATGACTAATTTCCATGTAATGTTGTTCTTCCTGCAGTGCTGGGGTTGGTAGAACTGGAGTTTTTATTGCTCTGGACCACTTGACACAACATATAAATGACCATGACTTTGTGGATATATATGGACTAGTAGCTGAATTGAGAAGTGAAAGAATGTGTATGGTGCAGAATCTGGTAAGAGAACTAAGCCTGCACTTCATTTCTTGGTGTCAACTCTAGGATTTCTATGTGGGTGGAACTTAGTGCATCAATCTGCTTGGAAGTGAACTTGAAGCAGTTATATGCACAGTAGGAACTCTTTTCCTACCTTATAAACTTGTTGGGTAGAACAGCTGGTAGAGATGATGAGAGAACTAAAGTCACCCTTAAGTATAATTACTGACTGTTCATCCTTGTTTATACTGACAGGCATGTAGAAAATAATTAATTAAATTGATTTGTGTTTATCATTTAGCAACTTTGGGGAGCTTAGAAAGTGAATTCAAATGAATTCCTCTTATAAATATGCTAAATATATTTATAATTGGGAAAACAGTGTAAAATATTGATGTTACTGAGTTTCTATGAATTTCATGTGTCCATATTTATCTCTGTTACTTATTAGTACTAACCATGATTGTTGCAGCAAATAATCAACTAACTGGGAATATTTTGTTCATTGTTTTAGTATGACGGCAAAGATCTTTATAAAATAAATAGATTTTTATTCACTAAGGAAATATACAGCTGGGTGCAGTGACACATGCCTATAATCCCAGTGGTCTCTGGAGGCTGAGACAGGAGGATCATGAGTTCAAAGCCAACCTCAGGAACAGCGAGATACTAAGTAACTTAGTGAGACTCTGTCTGTAAATAAAAGACAAAAAAAAAGGCTGGGGATGTGGCTCAGCAGTTGAGTGCCCCTGAGTTCAATCCCTGGTACAAAAATTTTAAAAACACAGTATAATGGTAGTGAGACTAACAACACTCTATTGAGTGTCAAGGAGTTTCCAGTTGCTATATTAGATCCTTTATATTTATTTTCTTATTTAATCCTGATTTAATTCTTTATTTGTGAATCAGGGTCAGTAAACTGATTAATAGACTAGGTATTATTGACTTTATGTTACAAAATAGGGAAGCAGATGTTCTAAGAACTTGAGTGATATTCCAATGCAATATTATTAGTAAGTATCAGAGCCAAAATTCATTCCAGTCTATCTAACTTAATAGGAGACGTTTCTATCTGTATCTTTTGATCAAAGTTTGTATACTATGCAGATACAGAGATGTTCTTGTAGTAAATACACAGATCTGCTCTCAGAGTATTTTCCAAAATATGTGCTAAAAACTAAGTTGCATTAAATTTATTAAAGGGGTGAGGAAACAGACTTCCCTAATAAAAATGAGTGTGAGAAATAAATTAAACTAATTTTTAAGTACAGAATTCCTTAGACCTTTTAGGCTAATACACCATGAAAATAACAAATACAGAGCCAACTGTGGTACCCTTCAACCCTTTTAGATCCCAAACTTGTAATGCATGTCATGGGACATTAATGCTGTAGGAAAATGCTGCCCTAGGTCAGAGACATCCAACTTTTCAGAAAAAAAAATGTTTGAGTATTCAACTTTAGTACAGATACTTATTTTTTAAATGTATATTGTATAATTATGTAAATTATGAAATATACACAAAATAAATAATTGATAAACATACCAAAGATCAAATATGCAATATTTGGAAAACCTTGCTAATTGCTATGGCTTCATATTATCATTAGGAATTTTCAAAAAGAAATACACCCAGGTCAACATATTTCTGATAATAGTCATAAATATGTATCTTTAATTATTTATAGTTTTTAAAAAGACATCTGGCCTTTTGTCAGATCTGATTACATTGTTATTTTTACCTCATGGTTTGGCTACAAATCTATTCTAGAAGTATGAAGGATGTCAGACCTTCCAATTCTTGTCATTTATTTTGTCTTGCATGTTACATATTTGATTTCAACGTAAGTCTCTGTGTAAGAATCTTTCACAGCCATTTTAATTCTGTGATAGGTAAAACTAGGAAATGTAGTCCATGTTCATTCCTTTATATGCTAAAAAGAACAAATGAGTGAAGGATCACTCTTCCCTAGTTTGTTTCAGAAATAGAATATGACATGTGACCAGAACTGGCTTCATGAATATTCAACCTGTGTAGTTTGACAGATGCCCACTACAGGGCCCTACATTTGGTTTAATGTGTGTTTCTTAGTCTTAATTTTTGAGGAAAGAACTTTGCATTTTTATTCATAGTTGGCCCTGAAAGTTAGATACTTGTCCAGAGGTTTTACAAGGGCTCCATATCAATCCAACTATTAACCATTATTGAAATTCAATTTGCATGCATTTTTACACATTTTAAGTCCTTTAAAAGTCACAGGATAGGTTTTGTGCGTCTCCAGATAAGGAAACTGAGCATCATACTTCTCTTAAGTTAACATGACTATCAAGGGTAGCAACTGGGTTGAACTTTTCAATGACACTCTGCAGCCTCCTTGGCAATAACACAGGATGGCAGAGGGACCTTGGAACCTGCAGCACTGTCTTGTAAGAGCTTGGCTTGCTATGCTGGCAGTTTAACCCATCATTCTCTCCAATGGAGGAGATGAGATCTGGACAGTCAGAAGTTTCATGTGTCAAATGTGACTTCAAACTCAAATGTGTTTTTTAGAAATATCAGAATTGTTCAATTTAAATTATTTTCAAAGAAATTACATTTCATCAACATATATATCAATGCTATTATATTTACTGTGTGATGTGTATTTGAAAAACTCTCTTAGAATTACTTTACCAGCAATTTCAGTAGAATTATTATTGCTTTATAATACTTCATTTCTTACCAAAAATTGAATTCTGTAACTTGATCATTCACTTCACTTGCAAAGTTTGACCCCTAATGACTTTTGGATGTTCTCCAAATCACATCTGCCCATAAATGGTGAAGATTGGCTAGCTTTGAGAATTAAATAAGCCTAAATCAACAAGCATTTATTACACAACTATTATATGCTAGGCACTATTACAGGCATTGGGAACACAGCAGCATCTAAGAGTTCTGCTCTCATAGAACTGACTTCCTAGTGATGAAGTGTTAGTGGGAATGTTTTGTAATCCACAAACAATGAGACCAGTAATAATCGTGACCAGTAATATTCAAAGACAGTTTCAATAAAGGAGTTACACCCCTCCAAAAAAAAGGTTTGGGGGTATTGTAGCCATAGATAGGAATATAACCTCTTAAAATGATCACTTTTGAGGATGTTCTATTTAAATCAATTGTCAGTTTGTAAATATGTCTTAAAACATTTGGTGATATTCCTTACAGTTGGGTATGCTTCTTATGTACAAATCAGGGTGATTTAAAACATACATCTTTGGTTTTTAACCTTAAATACTTTTGGGGAAGTAAAAATTCAGAAATGCTAATAAATTACTGAATTATACTGAATAAATCTAATGAATCTGGATGGTACTGAATTTACCCCATACATTCAGATGAAATGTTAGAAGTCTATGTCCTGCACCTAGGTGTTCGGGTATTTGTATGGCAAACCAGTTGGTATTTAGGGGAATAGATACTTAATATTAAGAGAGCCAAAATCCAGATGAGTAGCAGAATTATTAGATGTATTTTAAATGATTTGATGGTATATAAATGTGCTCACTCACAACTGCAGGATTAAATATAGCTCTGCATTCTGACAAGAAAAGTATTTATAAATTACTCAATTAGATCTAACAGGAAAAAGGAGGCTCATAAACAAATTTAAGTAATCAGACTTGCTACTTTTATAATCACAACAAGAAAGAATATATTAACACTTTGTATTTAGTGATGAGTATTTTAAAAAACTCAAAGCTACAAGAAGGCACAGGGATTTAGAAAATATTATTTTGGAAATTGTAGAAAATTGTTTATTTACTGAAATAAAATCTGTCTCTAACTTATCCATTTCACATTTGTTGAACTCAATACAGCTTTTTGCTGAAACAGTATAATTTCTCTTATAAGAAATAGTCCCACCCCGTCCTTCATTTAATCATTCTTCCTTTTGTTTCTAGGCACAGTATATCTTCTTACACCAGTGCATTCTGGATCTTTTATCAAATAAAGGAAGCAGTCAACCTATCTGTTTTGTTAACTATTCTGCACTTCAGAAAATGGATTCTTTGGATGCCATGGAAGGTAAACAGAGTCAGGGTGTACCAAATTTGCTAGTTTACTGCCTATAAGAGGAGCACTGATATTATAATAACCATAAGTTAAAAATACTTCAAAACTAGCTTAGTGCACATCAGTTTCTTCATTTCTCTCTCATTCAATGTGAGATAAATGCCTTTTCATCTGGATCGTCTTTTTGCCATGAAACATTTTAATCTTTTGAACTGTTAACTTCAGTACTCTCTTGTGACATGCTACTTTATGTTATAGGTGATGTTGAGCTTGAATGGGAAGAAACTACCATGTAAATATTCAGATCAACGATTACAACAAGAAGATATTTTTCAACCCCAGGGGCCAAAACTACCCCCTCATGCTTCTGAATTGAAATATGCAATCCTAAAGAAATCTTCATGCTTCCCTTACTGCCTTACTACCTGAATTGACCATTTTACAGACAGTTCTAGGAAACTGCTAATTCAGCATAGTCACTTGTTTTGTACAGAATAAATAT